GGACCCAGGTCTGTGCCACTCCAGAGTTAGGATCTGCTATCGTAAAGGCAGTGGGCATGAACATTAGCCACCCTCATTAGCTGGCAAAGACATTCAAAATAAGATCACAAGTAATTTATGTCTAAAGTGAACACTGAAAAATCACAGATTCTCTCAAACAAAAGTCAGACACAAAAGATTGTACATAGTATGATTCTACTTAGATAAAAGTCTAGGAGAGACAGAAATCAGGGGAGAGGAAGTGGAGAAGTAGGGATACAGGTTGTGGGGAGAAAAGCAGGTCAGACAGAAACACTGCAAAGAGGCAGGAAAAAAACAGAGGGGATGATTGGCACGTTCTTTGTCGTGTGTGTGTGTGTGTGTGTGTGTGTGTGTGTGTGTGTGTATGGTGGGGTGGGTCATACCCAGAAGTGCTGAGGGCTTACTCCTGGCTCTGGTCAGGGATCACTCCTGGCAGTGTTTTATGGGGGACCATATGACTAGTAACTCCATTTCCAGGAATTTATTATACAAAAATAATTTCAAGTAAAATAGTTTTAGAAAAATTTACTTAGAGAAATATGAGGGGACAGAGGGAGAGAGCAAAGGAGAGAGAGACAGAGAGAGAGATGGAGGGAGGGAGAGAGAGACGAGTTATGTGGTAAAAAGGTAAAGGTAAAGGCCCTCCCGTTGATCGTCAATTTGCTCGAGCGGGCCCAGTAACGTCTCCATTGGAGACTTTGTTGTTACTGTGTCTGGCATATCGAATACTCTCGGTAGCTTGCCGGGCTCTCCGAGAGGGGCGGAGGGATCGAACTCGGGTCGGCCATGTTGGCCGCATGCAAGGCGAACGCCCTACCGCTGTGCTGAGTTATGTGATCAAGAAAATATGTGAACTTCTCCAGAGGGGGAAAAACCCAAGAGCACACATGTCAGGGTGAGAGGTTGAAATATGGGTCAAAGTCCAGGGTAAAGAATACCAACAACAATTTTATTTTTGCTTTGGATCCACACCCAGCAGTACTCAGAGCTTCTTCCAGCTCTGTGCTCAGGGATCACTCCTGGTGGGCTTGATGAACCATATGGAGTGTTGGAGATCAAACCTGGGTGGGCTCTATGCAAGGCAAACGTGCTACCTGTTCATTGTACTGTAACTCCGGCCCCACAAAAACAAAAAAATTTTAAATAAAAAAGACACACACTAAAATCATTTTTTGTGCTATTCTGAATAAAATTATAAATTCTAGGACCAGTGGATAATTCTTGAATAAATTAAGGCTGTGTGGTACAGGTTGATTTCATCAACCTTGGGTTAACCAGAGCTGTTTTGCTTTAGTCCTCCCTAGCATGACACTGATCAGTGATCAAAGAACGGCCTACACTGTTCTGCTCCCTACCCACAGACCCACAAAGTCTACAAAGCACAATGCATATGAGATACTATGACCCAAGGCAGTTGCCACCTGCCTGTCCACACTGTACCGATCACAAGGAGAGTCTTGAACCGCACCTGCTTTCTGTGAGAATCCAAGACAGCGAAACTCCTCTGGGGTGGGGGTGGGGGGCTCCTAGGTGCGGTTCCCAGCACACTCAGCCCATCCATGCAGACTGACGCTTTGTGGTGAGGTCTGGTAAGTCAGCTCTTCTTGGGCCCGAGGGTGCTCAGGGCCACCAAGGCCACACTCAGCAGTGCTTAGGGACCACACCATGCCAGGGATCAAACCTGGGGTCTCCACGTGCCCGGCATGCACTCTGGTCCTTTGAGCCGTCTCCCCTGACCAAGACAGCATTAACCTTGAGGCTGGCTCCACAACAGGAACATGCTCACATGAGCAGAAGAATGCCACAAAGTCTCTGCTGGGAACGCAGTGGGATGCCCTGGGTGAGGTGCCCAGTGCACCCGCCCGCCGTGGACATTTTCAGATACGACTGAGAGGCACATCCAGCCATGGCACTGGCTGAGAAGAGCAGGGGGGCCACCTCATCTCTTTGGACCCGCTTCGGGGTAGCATTCGTCTGCAACCAGCTAGTTGGTTGGGTCTTCTCCTCAGGGTTCCTGGGTCGGCTCAAGTCATTGAGCTGACTGCCATTGTTGGCGCAAGAGCAACTCAACTTTATGTTATGAAAAAGTCAACTAACACATAGTCTATAGTCAACAAAGCACAATGCGTACGAGATATTACGATGAGAATACAACATTTTATTTAACCTACGCAAGCAAATCACAACACTGCTTGTTGACAGAGATGAGGGAATTAGAGGTGAGGGAAGAGCTCAGTGATCTGGAATGCTTGGCTTACAAGCCTAAGATCTCGAGTCCAATCCCCAGGGCTGCCAATTGTGTTAGGGGTTCTCTTTGCCCTCTGCTCTGCCGACTCAGCTGATCCTTCTGATCCCAGGCATTACAAGTGATTTCTGCCCAGAATGCAGTCTAGGCACGTGTGAGCACCCTGACTAAAGGGGTTCAAGCCCTGGCAGTTTTGTTTTTGGTTTTGGTTTCTGGGCCACACCTGGTAGTGCCAGGGGTCACTTCTGGCTCTGCACTCAGGCATCACTCCTGGAGGGCTCAGGGACCACCTGGGATGCTGGGGATGGAACCCGGGTTGGCCATGTGCAAGGCAAGTGTCCTCTTTGTTGTACTACCAGGACCCCGCATCCAGGAAGTATGACTCCTGATGAGTACCTGTGCTAGTGGCCACACTACAACAGAATGTGCACAAGCGCCAAGATTAGGTGCCCTCCTTAGGAGGCAGGTATGCCAACTTTGCAAAGGAGTGCAATCCTTGGAAGGCACCACAGCCAGGGGTCCTCGCACCATGCCTTGATCTAGGACGCCCTCCACCTCCATCCCCATTCCAGGAACACCACAGCTAGGCATGTGTGCAAACCCCTCATCACAGAGATGAAGGGAAAGGGAAAATCAAATACATAAAACAAAACAAAACAAACAAAAAAACCCACACTGCATTGCTGTTACATTATTTGTAAAAAACAAAAAAAAAATGGGGGCCAGGAGGAGTAGCACAGGGCTTAGAGCTCTGGCCTGGGAATCTCACATGCACAGAACACAATTCTGGCAGCTCTGCTGCCTGTCACCTGCTGTGCTACAAGTGACTTCTCTGAGCACCACAGGCACATGTGTGAGCACCACAGGGAAAGCTTCTTGCAGCCGATGGTTCTTGGTTTAAGAATGTGTTTTTTCAGCATGGTACTGGAACAAAGGCAGAGCTGCAGACCACTGGAACAGGGTCGAATATACTGACGTCTCCCCCCAAGCATGTGATCATCTAATCTTTGATAAGGGGGCAAGAAATGTGAAGTAGAGCAAGGAAAGCCTCTTTAACAAATTGTGCTGGCAAAACTGGACAGCTACATGCAAAAAAGTGGGCTCAGATCTGTCCCTAACACAAAGTACAAAAGTAAGATCAAAATGGATTAAAGACCTCAACATCAGACCGGAATCCATAAGGTACATTGAAGACAAAGTTGGCAAAACCCTCCATGACATTGAAGCTAATGGTATCTTCAAAGATGTCACGCCACTGGCTAAGCAAGTGAAAACAGAGATAGACAAATGGGACTATCTTAAACTAAGAAGCTTCTGCACCTCCAAAGAAACAGTGACCAAAATACAAAGACAGTCTACAGAATGGGAAAGAATATTTGCTGAATACACATCTGACAAGGGGTTGATATCAAGGATATACAAAGTACGGCTGAACTCCACAAGAAGAAAACATCCAACCCCATCAAAAAATGGGTGACGAAATGAACAGAAACTTTCTCAAAGAAGAAATCTGAATGGTTAAAATGGCACATGAGAAAATGCTCCACATCACTAATCATCAGGGAGATGCAGATCAAAACAACAATGAGATATCATTTCACACCACAGAGACTGGCCCACATCCAAAAGACCAAAAGCAACCAGTGTTGGTGTGGATGTGGTGAGAAAGGGACTCTCCTTCACTGCTGGTGGGAATGCCGACTGGTTCAGCCTTTTTGGAAAACAGTATGGACGATCCTCAAAAAAATAGAATTTGAGCTCCCATTTGATCCAGCAATACCACTCCTGGGAATATATCCCAGAGAGGCAAAAAAGTATAGTCGAAATGACTTCTGCACTTGTTTGTTCATTGCAGCACTGTTTACAATAGCTAGAATCTGGAAAAAACCTGAGTGCCTGAGAACAGATGACTGGTTAAAGAAACTTTGGTACATCTACACAGTGGAGTACTATGCAGCTGTTGGAAAAGATCAAGTCATGAAATTTACATACAAGCGGTACTACATGGAAAATATCATGCTAAGTGAAATGAGGGACAGACATAGAAACATTTCGTTAATCCGGGGAACATAAAGTAACAGCTACATGCTGGGTCAAATGGGAGTTCAATTTCTAATTTTTTGAGGATCGTCCATATTGTTTTCCAAAAAGGCTGAACCAGTCGGCATTCCCACCAGCAGTGAAGGAGAGTCCCTTTTGACTGGAGGGGCTGGAGTGATTGCGCTGAGGGTAGGGCATTTGCCTTGTATTTGGCTGACCCGGGTTCAATCCCGGGTATCCCATATGGTCTCCCGAACATCGCCAGGAGTAATTCCTGAGTGCAGAGCCAGGAGTCACCCCTGAGCATCGCTGGGTGTGATCAAAAAAAAAAAAAAGAATTATGACTAGAAACAACGAACTAAAATGGGAGAGGCTGATCTCAGCTGAGGAAGCAGATGTGTGTGGGGTGAACCCCAGGAAAACACGAGAAAGGCAGACGTGGAGTAAGCAATAATTGAGACATGCCTAGAGCTAAACAGCCGTTCCTTTCTCTCCCTCTCTCAGGAAGAAGTTGAGCCACCCTTTTCTCTAGCGAAAGCCCCGGAGATAGCCCCCCAGGAATGGAGACCACTAGACCTCATGAAGGTCTCCTCGGTAGTCTCCCCGGTCCCCCACCCTGAGCCAGTTGGCTATGAAGGAGAATGAAGGAGACAGTCTCCACAGGTTCTTCCGAGGGGGCCTTGTTTTTGTTTACCTCACATAGACGTCGAACTGCTTCAAAAACTGCCCATATTCTTCACGCAAAGCTTCCTTCTCTTGCTGTAACCCAGAAAGCTTCTCTGACAATTTCTGGTTGCTCCTGAGATACTGAAAAAAAACATTGAAAAAAAAATGAGAACACTCTGCAGTGCGTCAAGGGGAGAAGCGTAGGGATCATGAGCCCCCAGAGCCTTTCTGCTGCTCAACAGCTTCCAGGGACGCTGGCAGTGGCGCTGGCTGGAATCTCGTCTGCCTGAGAGCGGGCTGCTCTTTTCCTGGATTCGGTGCCTCAACCTTTTGGGTAGTTTCATAAGCATCCATGAAGACTTCCAGCTTGAAGGACAGGAAGTGAGAGCTGTTTTCCTCACTTAACCCTGGCAACAAAATATATGGTTCCTGAAGTGGCTCCAGCAAACAAAATCTCAAAGACAGGAATTTGGGAGTGATTATCTGATCTGCTAAGATCTGTAGGTAGTCTGACCCTGGCACAGTACCAGCAATCTCTGGCAGAAGAGTTAACCATCCTGCGCCTTTGAGGTTCCTGGGATGAAGTCCTGGGGATCGAGGGGGTAGGGGCGGTAGTTACAAGACGGGGACACAGACTGTTACAGCACAACTGAACTGAGGACAGTGGGGTGAGCGAGTCACAGCTGGCCATTTAATCAGCTTACAAGGAGAAAACAGTCAATTTGGGGATTTAATTATTTGGAATGAGACACCATCCAAGTTTCTGTGAATGCCCTAAGGGAACTTCTATAATGCAGGCAGTAGGACAATGCATCCAATGCACAAAAAACCCAATTTATCAGTAGGTTGCAGAACTACAGCGCAAGGCGATTTCAGAGCATTGTCAGAGGGCTCTTATCTGAAAAGTACTGAGCTTTGTTTTGGAATATATGGAAAGCTGAGACTCTGGAGTAAAGACATTTGTGGTTCTACACTTTGACTCCCTCTGGTAAGTATCTTTTGTGAGATAAGTGGTCCTTCATCGCTGCCTCAGAAGATGAGCCATTCTTACTGAGAGGCCTCTGTACTAATTTCGTTGAAGGCAGTGAACGGTACAGGGTGGGAAAAGGCCAGCCTGCAAAATCATGTGGCCTGGCCCTCATTCATGAGAGACACAGATGCTTGCCACTGGCTGCTGGCGAACTGTCTGCCTGTCTGGTGTGGTCTCTGAATGGTGTTAGAAAGTGTTCTCTATCCCGAGCTTAAGAGAAAACCTACTGAAACAATTCTCTCTCTCATAACACTATAGCACTGTCCTCCCGTTGTTCATCTATTTGCTTGAGCGGGCCCAGTAACGTCTCCATTGTGAGACTTGTTGTTACCTCTCTCTCATATGTGGGATTAAAGGAAACATAGTAAGAAAACAACAAATGGCTGAAGGCAAGAGAAATGAAGAAAGTTATTGTGAGTGACCCACGCACCCACCTCATCACCGTGACTTACGTGAACACTTCACTAAGCATGTCAAACACATTGGTGAGGGGAGCATCAGGAATCCTGAAATCATGCAGTGTATTAGCGGGGAGGTGCTTAGGCCACGCCCATGAGTATTGAGGAGCTATTCCTAATTCTGTGCTCAGGGGTCACTCCTGGTGGTGCTTGGGGAACCATATGTAGTGACAGTGATTGAACTGGGTTCCACTGCATACAAAAGCAAGCATCTCACCTCCTGTACTCTGAAACACCATGAGGCACAGTTGTAGACTTAGACATTTTTGTGCTTGGATTTCAATTATACAATGATCAAATACCCATCCCTCCACCAGTGCCCATTTTCCACCACCACAGGTCCTAGTATGCCATCCCCCCTATCCCACCCTACCTCTGTGGCAGGGCATTCCCTTTTGTTCTCTCTCTCCTTTTGGATGTTGTGGTTTGCAAAAGAGGCATTGAGTGGCAATTACGTTCGGTCTATAGTCTACTTTCAGCATGCTTCTCCCATCCTGGGAGGACCCTCCCAACACCCTTTATTTGGTGCTCCCTTCTCTATCTGAGCTCCCTTTTCCCCTAGCATGTGTGGCTGGCCTCCAAGCCATGGAGCAAACCTCCTGGTACTAATCTCGGCAACTCTTGGGTGTTAATCTCCTATTTTGTTACTTCATGTTCCCCCAGATGAATGCAATCTTTCTATGTCTATCCCTCTCTTTCTGACTCATTTCACTTAACATACTTTCCATTTAGTACCACTTGTATGTAAATTTCACGATCCCTTTGACTCTTAAATGATGTTACCTCCCTGAACACGATGGCAGAAGACACCAACATTAAAATGAATCCTGATTCTAATGGGTCTGATGGAAGTACAGAATGTTAGAGGTCATGTTTAACCCCCAGATATAACCTAACAGATATAACCTAGCAGTGGGATCAGAGATAAAACCCAATGGCTTCATCTTTTTTTTGGAGGGGAAGGGTTAATTGGGCTTTTGAAGATGTGCTCAGGGGTTACTCAGGTCTGTGCTCAGAGTTGGAAGGCCACCTGGGAGGCAAGTGCCTTATCCCCTGTACCATTCTTCAGCTCCACCAATGATTTGACTTTAACAGTGGTTGTCAACCTTTTTTACACAAGTAAGCTGGAACTGGTCTGTGAATAGGTGGTTGAAATCTACTGGCTTGGGGCTGGAGCAATAGTACAGTGGGTAGAGTGCTTAATTTGCACATGGCCAATGCAGGTTTGATCCTTAGAACCCCATGTGGCTTCCCAGGCTCCAGCAGGAGTGATCCCTGAGTGAAGAGCCAGGAGTAAGTCCTGAGCACTGTCTGGTGTAGCCCCTAAACTGAAAACAAACAAAAATATCAAAGACAAAAAACAACAATAACAGAACTCCAGAAAACCACTGACTTATGTCAAAATTTGGCTGTGGTTGATTGTTTTAAAATTTGAGGACTAAAACGGATGAGCAACATATACAAACTTTACCCGGATTCTATATCTATGTGTGTGTGTGTGTGTGTGTGTGTGTGTGTAGTTGTTTTGGTTTTGGATCACACCTGGTTCAGGGTTTCAGGGGTTACTCCTGACCCTGCACTCAGGAATTACTCCTGGCAGTGCTCAGGGGACCAAATGGGGTGCCGGAGATCGAACCCAGATCAGCCATAGGCAAAGCAAATACCCTACCTGCTGAACTATTGGCCCCGCCTATGTGTGTGTGTATGAGTGTGTGTGAGTGTGAGTGTATGTGAATCTGAGTATGTGTGTATAGTTGCTGTTTATTTGTCTGTTTGGGGACACACCTGGTGGTGCTACATGTGTCTGGTTGGAGCACTCGTGACAGCGCAACCTTAGAGAGTGAGACTACGGGTATTCCATGTGGTTTTGCTCACCAGAAGGCATTCACATGAGACATGTCTCTCAGTCATCAGGGAAAAAAGACACTGATTCTGTCGTCATTAGCTATCTGCCTGCTCAACAGACATGTTCAAAGTCCACGGTGACAGGAATGCATTTTACAAGGCATTGTGAAGACTACTAGCTCATTCCACATGTCGAAGGCAAAGTCAAATGGCACCACTGAGCGGGGGCCAAGCAGCCTGTGGCAGCAGTTTACTACACTGGACTCCTTCCATTACACTAGACGTTCTTCCATTGGGAGAACGACAATCTTCCCGCAGTGGAGTATGGATTTGCTTTCTCTTGCTGATAATGCTTTTTGTGAGAACCTCTACCTATAAAATCATTTATTGTCATTTTATGTCACTCATCATTGTTTCTGATTAATAAAATAGTTTCATAGCAAGAAAAATACAGGTTATTGGCCTTAATATATAGCTCTTCATTAAGAGGAAATGAACCCAGTGCTAGATTAGTACATCAGGTGGAGTACTTGCCTTGTATGTTGCCAACCCGTTCTGTCCCTGGCACCACATATGGTCCCCTGAGTACCACCAGGGGTCATTCCTGAGCACAGAGCACTAATAACCCCTGAGCACAGACAGCTAGGGCCCAACCCCCTACACTGTCATCCCACAGATAACCAACACAATAATTGGAATGACCTACAGAAGATGTAGTTAAGATGTTGGCTAGATGACAGTATCATTTGGCACTACGTGATGTCCCTTAAGATGATAAGTTTTAACCAGTAGTGTATATAGGAGGCCATATCTCTCCCAGACAGAATTTATGGAGAGGAACCAAGAGATGGGGTGGCTTTTCACACCAATATCTCAGGGACACAATGTGTAATACCAGTGGCTTGCCTTCTAGTTAAGTTTTTGTTTGTCTGTTTTGTTTGGGGGCCACACCCAGCTGTGCCCAGGGTTTACACTTGAGCTCAGGGATCACTCCTGGAGGGTCCCATATGGGATGCCAGGAATGGAACCCAGCTTGGCCTTGTGCAAAGCAAGTGCCCTCCCTTGTACGTACATTGGCTCTGGCCTCTCTGGCTAAGTTTTGAAGTTAGTTACAGTTTACCTGTGCAGATTAAAACTGAAGAAATAGAAACTGACAATCACCAGATGATCCTAGAATCTGAAGGACTACTGAGAAGGTAAGAGTGTCATCTTTTATATGAGATACCAATGGATCAGATCGGGTGGAAGTGGCATCTTCTGCTTGTTTATTAGGTCAAATATGGCTTGTAAAAGGGTCTGTATGAATGCTGACTATCTTAAACAGACTTTGCTGATGCTCAATAAAACCTTTTTTTTTTTCAGGGGTGAGGGGCACACCAGACAGTGTTCAGGGGTTACTATTGACTCTGCCTCAGGAATCACTCCTGGGAGGCTCAGGGGATCAAGTGGGACGCTGGGGATCTAACCCAGGTTGACCGCAGCAAGGCAAGTGTCCCACCCCCTGTGTGATTGTTCTGGTCCCAGACCCATTTTTTTTTCCCTCTAAGCTTTTTCCTTGTGCTGCAAGGTTAGAAGTCTGAAGAGGACGTTTCCCAGACTTTCCAGAGAGCAGAGTTCATGTTTAGTTTCTGCAAATGAGAGGCACCTGCACAGGTTGAAAAGCCTTTCCCCCAGCAGGTTATGAATGAGTGGTCAGTAGATGAGACACTGGCAGGGGCCTCGGAAAGTCCCGGGAAGCCCTCTCTGTGCCTGCAGAAATTGCCTTCTCGGGGTTTCCAAGCTGCATTTATTGAAAGTCATGTCTTATCTCTTACTTTTTCTTCACAACAGCTTTACAGCACGCACTCCTGGGGTCAAATCCTTTCTTGCTTGAAATGCCTTGAGGAGATTCTGCTTTCCTGCTTGAACCCCATCTAAACAGAATGGGTCAAGTGCTAAGCACTCAACAATCTACTGATTACCCAGTTCGATTACTCTACTACTACTATACGGGAATAGGAAAGCCAAGAAGAAAATTTATTTATTTCCTTACCTTGTTGGATATTCTTTGTTCATTTTCCAGCTGTTTAAGTTGGGCTTCTTGTTGTTGTATCTGGGCTTGTTGCTGAGAACTGATCTTTTCTAGTTCATTCTCTTTGTTCTGTGAGATTCTCACTTGCTTTTGTAGCTCAATAATATCCTGATCTAGGAGTTTCCTGAGGGTAATTAATGTACACTAAATCACACTGTGAATTAAAAAGCTTTGGAAATGAAACTCTTAGACTAAAAAATGTTTCAACACATTAGGGGACTGTTCTTTGGGCTGGGGGAGGGTTGCATGAGACAGGATTTGAGTTCATAAAGCAAAGGATTGAGCACAGGGAACCTCCTTTGTGACAGCAGCTTTTCTTCATCCTCTCTCTTCTCAAAACAGCCTTTGAGGAAGAAATATTTTTCTTTACTTTCCAGGGGAAACTAAGGCAAAGAGAAGCTTCCCTGACTGCTCAATTACACAGCTATTCCAAGGTGGACTAACATGTAATCTCATCTTCTTTCTATTTAATCTCACAGCTTTACAATGAAGTCCTGATGTTCAGAGCACTTCCAATGAGGACTTCAGTATAGGCTGTTAGTTACAAGCACAACTGATACCAAGGCACGGGTTTTAACACAGCTGAATCCTGAATGAGTCTACTGATAAAAAAAAAATGCAGGCTGGCCCCAAGTGCCATAAATACTTAAGGCCTTCAGAGAGTTTCTTATCAGACTTGTGGAAAGAATTTCTGAAATTCAGACGAAGCTTCTGGACCCTGGAGAACCATCTAGAAGATATGATAATAATGATGAAAGGGTATTGGTGGACAAAATTCTCACTTACCTGCTAGGTGACCAAGATGCTGATATCAGACAATTAAGTTTCTGTCTCTAAATTCAATTTTCTGAGAAATCAGTGGATAACTGGGATTTTTTTGTTTGTTTGTTTGTTTGTTTTTAGGACACATCTGCCAGTGCTCAGGGCTTATTCCTGACTCTGTATTTAGGGATCACTCCTGGCCGGGTCGAGGGAACCATATGTTGTACCAGAAATCGAACCTGGTTGACCATATGAAAGGCAAGTGCCCTAGTCACTGGATTACCTCTCCAGCCCCTGGGAAGGATTTTTATGTGATACACAGAGCTCCCGTCTCTCTGCCTTTCAGCATCTCTGCTCTCAATTTTGGAGCAAGCACAGGCTGCCCAAGGACTGTTGTAGATTGTCTTTAACTGCTTCTCCGCACCTCTCTGCCCCCTCCTTCCTTTCTATTGTATTTCATTTATTTCTCTATATGGCTGAGAAATTCCCTGCTATCATCATCAGCTTCTTTTTTGACTCTGTTCTGAATTTCTCTTTAATGGTGCCAAACTCCACTAAGGGAACAGACTCCAAGACAAGCCTTGGACCTGGAAGAGAAGTTTTGATCCTAGAACTTGAAAAAATAGAGTTATCTGAATCAATGTAGGAACTGGAAACTGGCAGAGAAAACAAGTCAGGCCATAAAAAGCAACTCATGAATATTTTGGAAGTTGATTCTGTTGATCACATAGATAGAACCTGAACAACGAAAGACTAACATAAACCTGTTCTGTCAGTGAATAAAATTAAGAATTAGATTGTTAAGACGCCGTCTCTCTGATAGCTGCAGCCCGTCTTTCAAAGCAGCCTTTACACAGAACCAGAGTGCCCTCCGCAACCAAAGTCTAATCCTACCCTGCTTGATGAGTGCAGTGGTCTCCATGATTCTATGAAGCCCAACCTTCTCATTATGACTTGGTAACCAGCCTCTCTTTCACACCTCATTTTCTGGCTTCTCTTTGCCCATTTTGTTTCAGGCAAGAATGAAAGTTTGTTTTTGTTTTTTTTTTTTTTTTTTTGTTCCTCGGGGCTGGAGCGATAGCACAGCGGTAGGGCGTTCGCCTTACAAGCGGCCAACATGGCTGACCCGAGTTCGATTCCTCCGCCCCTCTCGGAGAGCCCGGCAAGCTACCGAGAGTATTGGATATGCCAGACACAGTAACAACAAAGTCTCCAATGGAGACGTTACTGGGCCCGCTCGAGCAAATCGACGATCAATGGGAGGGCCTTTACCTTTTACCTTTACCTTTTTTTGTTCCTCACTTCTTGAAATAAGTTGCCCTCCGTATTGACCCCTCTCCTCGACTTCAACCTTCGCTTTCTCTTCCTCTGCCAGGTCTTCCTTTGCCTGATATCTTAGTTGGCTTTCCATATCTACCTCACAGTGTTTGGTGAGTCCTGTGGGGTGCCAGGGATGGATGTGGGGGCAGCTGCATGGAAGGCTGAGACTCCTGCGCTGTGTCTCCAACCTGTCAATGCTCTTTGCCAGGAAGGTTTTCTTCAGTGTCTTTGTCCAGATAAGGTTTCGTGCCTGGGGATGCTCTGCTCTGGCCTGAACTTCCCCTAGCATTATATTTACTGTACATCACTGCAGTTGCAAAGACTTCTGTACAGGGGTATTTATCATAGCATTATAATAACAGCGTAAGTCTAGAAAATATATCCCCCAAATTATGGTATATTGTTATGATAGGCTACTATGCAACTGCTCAAAATTAATATTATGAAACTAAGTCAGGGGGTTGGAGCAACAGTACAGCGGGTAGAGCGGTTACCTTGCACAGGGTTGACCCAGGTTCGATCACCAACATCCCATATAATTCCCTGAACACTTCCAGGAGTAATTCCAGAATGCGGAGCCAGGAATAACCCCTGAGCACAGCCAGGTATGACCCCCCAACGCCCCTCCAAAAGAAACTAACTCAGTATCAGGAAATGCCCAAACATAATTCTAAAGAACATCCGAATTAAAGAAGTTTCAAGAGAAACTTTAAATATTTTAATTACACATATTTTACATGAAAATAAAAATACAAATGGCCAAAGTTGTGATACGCAGCAAGAGCAGTGCTTGAAAGGATGCAAAGTACTTGTAAAGGTGAACATTAGCAAAGAAGAAAGAATGACCTAAACTCCCACTAGAGAGTCCAGCTTGAGAAAACCAGAGAAAGGAACTAGAGAAAGAGGTCCAAGATATAAGTTCAATATAAAGCTATAAAGATAAATCAATGAGAGCAGAAAGCAATGAAACTGAAAATAGGAAAACAACAGAGAAAAATCAACGAGAGTAGAGCCAATTCCTTGAAAAGAGGATTAAACTCGATAAATCACTCTCTAGCCAGGCTAACCAAGAGACAAAGAAGATACAAATTATTAATATCAGAAGTGAAAGAGGGACCAACACTACCGATCCTCTGGACACCGAAAGGATCAAGGGGTCTGGGAGACGGCTCTGTGGGCTGGGCACACGCATGCTTTGCCTGCAGGAGATTGTGGTTCAGCCTCGGACACCCCATGCTCTCCTAAGCACTGAGCATTGCTGGCTGTTTCCCAGAAACCCAATAAAATAAATATGGGGCTGGAGGCATAATACAGCAGGTGAAATGCTTGCCTTGCACATGGTGGAACCTGGGTTCAATTCCTGACATTCCATAGGGACTCTTGAACCCTGCCAGGAGTGATCCCTGAGAGTGGAGCTGGGAGTAAGCCCTGCACATCACTGGATCACTGGATATGGCCCCAAAATAAATGAGTGAATAAATGAATAATAAAGATTCTTATGAACAACCTGATGCTCACAAAGATTGATAATTTAGATTAAATGAACCAACTGCCTGAAAGATGCATTCTACTAAAAATTTACCCAAGGAGAAATATATAACCAAGCGTATGCCCCTCTCAGAGATCCCGGCAAGCTACCGAGAGTATCTTGCCCTCACAGCAAAGCCTGGCAAGCTACCCGTGACATACTCAATATGCCAAACACAGTAAGAAGTGTCACAACGGAGACGTTACTGGGCCTGCTCGAGCAAATCGATGAACAATGGGAGGACACTGACAATGACAGTGACAATACCAGTATAACACATTAGTTACTATTTAATAATATTCCCCCAAATAAAAAACTAGGCACACATGGCGAATTCTAACAATTCAGGTAGAAAAGATACCAGCTCTCTACAATCTCCTTCAGAGGAGCTGAAGAAGGAGGGATATTTTCTAGTTTTTTTACAAGTCCAGCATTACCCTAATACCAAAGGTAAAGGTAAAAGGTAAAGGCCCTCCCGTTGATCGTCGATTTGCTCGAGCGGGCCCAGTAACGTCTCCATTGGAGACTTTGTTGTTACTGTGTCTGGCATATCGAATACTCTCGGTAGCTTGCCGGGCTCTCCGAGAGGGGCGGAGGAATCGAACCTGGGTCGGCCATGTTGGCCGCTTGTAAGGCGAACGCCCTACCGCTGTGCTAAATCAGAGGAATATATTATAAGAAAGTAAACTATTTTTTTTTGTTTTTGGGCCACACCCAGTGATGACCAGGATTTATCTCTAGCTTTGCACTCAGGAATTACACCTGGTGGTACTCAGGAGACCATATGCGATGCCAAGGATCGAACCTGAGTTGGCCTCATGTAAGGCAAGCACTCACCCACTTTGTTATCACTTGGGCTCCAAAAAGCAAACTGTCGATCAAAATTTCCATGCCCAAACTTCTTGCTCTGGCTAATTAGATTTGACATGACTGAGGCCTACCTTACTTATCTAGCCTTGTTTTCTCATCCCATGTCAGTTCTTACTGTCTCCAACCTTGATAAAGTAGGTGTATTGCAGGAGAAAGTGGGTCCCTCTCATCAAAGAACTAAACAGGTAGCTCAGCAGATAGAGAAGTTTATATTATTTCCAAGCATTTTATTTTCTAGCCCAAATGAGCATTCTTTATTTTCCCGAAGATGGAGGTGAAGGTGATAACAGTAACAATATGATAACTATTATTATCAAATAATAATTTTGAGCATCAATTATTTCAGCAACAGTAGCACCTTTTCAGCAGCAATATTATAATATGTCGACTTGGCTAGTAATTCTCTCTGTGAATGATTCTGTTCAGAGTGGTTAAGTTCTAGTTAAGCTCTACTTTTTTGATTGAATCCTGCCCCATAACCAGTGTTTTCTGTATGGCAAACATTTTCTTTTTTAAAAAATTTAATTTCTTCTTTAGGGGCTTGGGATGGGGCACACTCAGAGCTTACTCCTGGCTCTATGCTCTGGGATCACTCCTGGCAGTGCTCAGGGCACCATATGGTGTGCTGGGAATCAAACCTTAGT